GCCCCCCCCCCTCCCCTCCCGTCCCCTCCCCTCCGTGTGTCAGGTCCAGGCTGTTGCTGGGGGCCACTCCCACCCGTTCATCCCCCTTTGAGGAAATATGGGTTTCACGTCCTCTGGTTGGGGCGCAGCTTCCCCTGGGAGAGCCTTGCTCAGCCTCCTGCCCCAGTGCGTTTGCCTGGGTCCTGAGGGTGCCTCCATTCTGCCCTGCTCTACAGGGCCCCTCCCTCACCCCCTCTCCTGCCAGCTCTTCATGCTGGAGGCAGACACGTCCCAGCCACCCAGCCAGCGTGTTTTGGTGCCGGGATGAGGGTGACCCAGGTGCAGCTGGCCAGCTACTGCCCTTTTGTACGGCACAGGGACTCAGAGCCACCCTGACCTGGCACATCAGCCCTGCCCTGCTCTCCAGGCTTCCGGGACAGCTTGTCTAGGTGGCCGGGCTGGCTTCTGCGGGGGGTGTGCAGCCTGGCTCAGGACAGCCACTGTCACCATCACTGGGCGTTGGGGTTCCTGGCTCAGTGCAGGCCCCGCCTCTCGATGGGAGGAGCTGCCAGGTCACCTGGGGCCAGAGACCGCCTCGCCCCACCCGGTCCAGTCCAGCCTGAGTGGAGAAAGGCCTGGCGTCCACGTGGGGACAGCCTGTGGCAGGGTGACCAGCGGAGGCCCCTCCGCGGGAACTGAAGATCGGTCTGGCTTCCTCGACCCGTTTCTTTGTTTGATTCCTGTTTTGAGGGCAGGATCTGCCCCTGCTCTACGGGCAGACAGCGGCCCTGCAGTGTCAGCCCTGTTCCCCGTGCCCGCGGATGTGAGTGCGTCCTGCGCTGCGTGTCAGTGGGGAGAGATCCGTCAGCGCCATTGTGCGGGGCATGTTGTCCCCTGAAGCACCACGTGTCAGATTTCGCGTTCCCCTGCCCCTTGCTGCCTTGTCCTCTCACTAACCGTCCACCTGAAACGTTGCTGTAGCTGGGACCCGAGGAGCCTGAGGGTCAGAGCAGGTGTTTCATGGAGACCCCTGGCCGCGTCGCCTGCGCGTGGGGTGCTCCGTGCCTGACGCGCTCTCTGCCCTGCAGACGCTGGACCTCGCCAACAACCAGCTGAGCGAGGTCCCCGCGGAGCTGGCCGACTGCCCCAAGCTCAGGGAGCTCAACCTCCACGGGAACCAGCTGAAGGACAGGCGCCTGGAGAAGATGCTGGGCAGCTGCCAGACCAAGTCCATCCTGGAGTACCTGCGGGCGGGGGGCCGCGGCAGGGCCAAGGGCAGGGCCGACCCCGAGAAGGAGGAGAGCCGGCGCCAGAGGAGGGAGCGGAGGAAGAGGGAGGGCGAGGAGGAGGAGGTGGCCGAGGCCAGCCGGCTGCTGCTCCGAGTGCTGCACGTCTCAGAGAACCCGGCCCCACTGACCATCACGGCCGGCCCCGAGGTCAAGGGCGTGCGGCCGTTCCTCGTGGGGGCTGTCGTGAGGGGCATGGACCTGCAGACTGGCAACGCACTCAAGCGCTTCCTCACCTCTCAGGTGGGTGCAGGCGGCCAGCGGGGGGTGGGGGCGAGGAGACACCACCTCTGCGTGCCTCAGTTTCCTCTCCTGGGAAATGGGAACGCAGCGGCCCTGCCCTGGATATTGGTGAGCAGCGTGTGGGCCGTGGGCAGCCGAGTGTGCTGGGCACATCGAGGGCGCCTCACACACACACACAACCATTGTGCCTGGCGGAGCCGGGTGGAGGCTGCTTCTGCGGGCGGCCTTGTTGCCCTGGGGCCGGAGTGTTCCTCCAGTTCCCGAGTTGCTGGAGTGTCTGGTTTCCGTAATGAATCACTCAGTTCCACATAAGGTGGTGTCAGAGTCAGCAGCTCTCACCAGCACATTCCCACGCCAGTCGTGCTGTTTGTTTAGGGTTTAGCGAGACAAACGTCCTGATGGGTTGCCTCCGTGCCGCGTGCCCCTCTTTTAAAATAGCAGGCGCGTCTCTGACGTGAGGAGGCCCTGGGGTGGCCGGGGACAGGCGGCTTCCGGAGGCTCCCGCGGGTCAGGAGTCCTGCCCTGGGAGGGGCAGAGGCAGGGCCAGGCGTCCAGCGCGGAGCTGGCGTTCGGGGGAACGTCGTGGGGTCATGTTTGAGTCGTGCTGCTGTGAGCTCAGCCAGGAGTGTCGTTCCCGTGGCTTCTCGGACGGACGCCTCCCACATTGTGCTCTAGCGTCAGGGACGAGGAAAGCCCTGGTGACGGGAAGAAGCTGTTTGCCGGGGGCGGTTTCACAGGATGCTTCTGGCGGGAGGCAGGAGGCAGGAGGCGGCAGTGCTGAGTGGTTGGGCAGCTCCCGCCCGCACACGCCTGGCTCTGAGCGCCCGCGATCTCGCGTTGCAGACGAAGCTGCACGAGGACCTCTGCGAGAAGCGGACGG